GCGAAGGGCTTTACTCAAACTCCCGGAGTTGACTATGATGAGACCTTCTCACCAGTTGCGAAGATTAAATCTATTAGAGTGATGCTAGCAATTGCCGCATTTCATGATTATGAGATTTGGCAAATGGATGTCAAGACCGCTTTCCTTAACGGAAAGTTGGCTGAGGATGTTTACATGGCTCAGCCAGAGGGGTTTGTGGATCCGAAGCATCCGAATAGAGTGTGTAAGCTTGAGAAGTCCATTTATGGACTTAAGCAAGCGTCTCGCAGATGGAATCTTTGCTTCGATGAGAAAGTCAAAGAGTTTGGATTTGTACGAAGCGAAGACGAATCTTGTGTATATGTCAAAGCCAGTGGGAGTATAGTAAGCTTCCTCGTTCTATATGTCGATGACATATTACTCATAGGAAACGACATCCCGACTCTGCAGGAGGTTAAGTCCTGGCTCGGGAAGTGCTTCGCTATGAAGGACCTCGGAGAGGCTTCTTACATTTTGGGAATAAGGAGTAGTAAGAGACTAATTGGACTTAGTCAGAATACTTACTTGGAGAAGGTACTAAAACGTTTTAGTATGGAAAACTCAAAGAAGGGAGAACTACCGATACAAGGAAATGCCAAGTTGAGTAAGACTCAAAGTCCGAGTACCGAAGCTGAGATAGCAGAAATGAGCCGAGTACCATACGCTTCCGCAGTTGGCTCAATCATGTACGCTATGACTTGTACTCGCCCTGATGTAGCCTTCGCTTTGAGCATGGTTAGCAGATATCAAGGGAACCCTGGCAAAGCACATTGGATTGCGGTGAAGAACATCCTTAAGTACCTTCGGAGGACGAAAGAATGGTTCTTAGTCCTTGGAGGGAGTGATGACTTGAAGGTGCGAGGGTATAGTGACGCCAGCTTTCAGACCGACAGGGACAACTACCGTTCGCAGTCGGGCTGGGTCTTTACCCTAAATGGAGGAGCAGTGACATGGAAAAGTTCCAAGCAGGAAACCGTAGCTGATTCAACGTGCGAATCAGAGTACATCGCAGCGAGCGAAGCGTCGAAGGAGGCAATATGGCTGAAGAACTTCATCGGTGATCTTGGAGTTGTGCCGGCCATAAAGGAGCCCATGGAGATTTTCTGTGATAACGAAGGTGCGGTTGCCTTGACCAAGGAACCGAGGGATCATGGTAGATCTCGACATATCGACAGAAAATATCACTTCATTAGACATCGTGTAGAAGAAGGACAACTCGTAGTGAAGAGGATATCATCAGAAGATAACCCAGCAGATCCGCTTACGAAGGGACTGAGTAGGGTTAAGCACTTGCAGCATGCTAGGAGTATTGGGCTGAAGGATGATATTAGTATAGATTAGATAGTATTAGAAACGTATAATAGATAAATGTAATTAACATTTGATGATTAAATAAAGGAGTTTTATTTATGAGTAAAGTTACTGTCACATGTTAGTTGTTTAACTATTGTTTCACTTTGCATGTTTTGACTTCCAGAATAATTGAGTTTATTAGGAATAATCGAATTATTCAAATGGTCCACAATCGTTCATATGTTGGGAGTAGATATGAATGAAGATTGTCATGAATTGGTGTGTAGAATGTCTAAATGGTGTTAGACATAGCAAGGGTTGCTGCAACGTTCATGAGTGCTTATGAACTGGTTTTGAGCATTGGAATAAACCCGCGCTTGCTGGAATCACCTTATGGAATACGATATAAAAGGTGATCGCAAGACGATAATATCATATGGTCTTAAAACCTAGATATATGGTTTATTATTTGTTAATTGATTGTGCATTGATAATGCGAAAACGCATCAGTAACTTGATGTTATAAAACGCATTGTTGTGTATAGTTGGTTAATGAATAAGTAAATGCATATAAGTCGAAGTTTATCTGTAAATTTTATCCTAAGAGGATAGAAGAGATATCTTGGCCACTCGATGATTTGATTTGACTTATGTGCCGGGCCCGGTCAGAACTGAATTGATGTGTTCGATTAAGTTCTATGTCAAATAAATCGAAGATCGAGAAATCTAAATGCTAGACTAACCATTCCATAGGATTGTCAGCATGATATCTAACAGAGGACTGTACGATCCCTTATCTAAAGGACAAGATTGATTAGATCAGAGTTGACAGCGTCTTTGAGAGCTACGATTGCAAACCGTATTGTACTTGTATAGTTACTAGACTTATCCAAGTGGGAGACTGTTGGAATAGTGTCTAAGGCTATAACTATATTCGGTTGTGCATGGTCCTTTTGGGTTGCCTTCACCATAGCAACTTGAAGGATGATTTGTTAAGAGAGAGTAAATATTATAAGGAATAATATTTGGCTATTTGATTAATATAAGTCATAAATTAATTGGTATTAATTTGGTGACTTAAAGAGATTAATTAAATAAGAGGGTATAAACTGTCAATTGTTTGATAGTTAGACTTTAGACTGTAAATCCATTAGGATGACCTTGGACGGATTCTAAGAGCTTTAGGATAGCTCAAATCGTCCATAGGGTTATCTATGGAATGGATTTGGATAGCCTTAAGAGAAGATTATCCAATTAGGGTTTAGGGTGAAACCCTTAAGGAGTCTACAAGTATAAATAGACCCTATGGGTGAGGGAATTAACACACAACCTTAAGCAAGGAACTCTGGCCGAATTCCTCCCCTCTCCTCTCTCCTAAATCATCTTGCTTGCTATTGGTGTTTGTAAGCCATTAGAGGAGTGACAATTGTGACTCTAGAAGCTCCAAGACAAACAAGATCAACAAGGATTCAAAGGTATGATTCTAGATCTGTTTCAATTTTGTTATTTGACCTAATTAGCCATTAGAAGTCTTGGTTTCAAAAGCATGTTTATTAGAAAGCCTAGATCCAAGCATTAGGGTTTTGCATGCGCACATAGGAAAGTTCTTATGGCTAAAACCCATCAGTTCTATGTTCTGTCATGATATATATATATATATATATATTATATATATATATATATATATATATATATATATATATATATATATGCTTTTACGTTGGGGGCCGGAAGGCGATATGTTATGGGCCGGAAGGCATTATGTTATGGGCCGGAAGGCAATGTGTTATGGGCCGAAAGGCATTACGCAATGGGCCGGAAGGCGATATGTTTGGACCGGAAGGTTGTGGCCTGGAAGGGCGTATATGTGGTTGGTATTTTGGGGGTATCTCACTAAGCTTTCGGGCTTACAGTTGTGGTTTTATGTTTCAGGTTCTCAGGAGTCTGTGGCAAGGCAAAGGCGTGATCGTACCGTTCCTCGCGTTGGTGTTTTATGAAATGGACCTGGGAAAATACTCTATTAAATAATGTATTGAAAACCTTTTTGTAACCACGATATTAAAATGAGTTGTTTTTGAAAAGTTTTAATTGTTTCGAAATTTTGGTCGTTATATGGCAACCACCACCTCACGGTGGTGGTGACAGGTTTTTTGCTTGAACAATCCGGCCAAACATTACATTGTACAACATTTATCTAAAAGAAACACACAATATGACACATGCACACCCACATAGCCATCCTTGTGGTGGTAGGCAGTGGTTAGAGTTGATAGCCACCACCTCATGGTGGTGGTGGTGGCTCTTCTCATAAGTTCCGGCCAAGCAACCACACATACAATATGCACTCTAGTGGTAGAAGCACACACACATGTCTTTTTCTCGGAAAAATGGACACAACCACCTACCTGGTGGTGTACGGTGACGGCAACGACTTGGAACGGCGGGAACATCAACGCTAGCGGTGGCAGATGATAGTGGTGGTGGCGATGCAACAGAAGAAGAAGAAGAAGAAGAAGAAGAAGAAGAAGAAGAAGAAGAAGAAGAAGAAGAAGAAGAAGAAGAAGAAGAAGAAGAGAAGAAGAAGAAGAAGAAGCGAAGAGGGTGGGCAGCTCCCACCGAAAATAGAAACACGACACCCCCAGACTGCTCTTCCGATAATGACTCAGCAATCAAGTAGGCTTTAAATCCAATTTTTCATGATAAAACTAAGCATTTTGAAATAGATGTTCATTTTATTAGGAAAAAAACTGCAAATGGTATTATTAATCTTGTTAAAGATAAATTTGTAAATCAAACCGTAGATATTTTTACCAAGTGTCTTGGTTCTTTTCAACATGAACATCTTTGTGAAAAAATGTGTTTGGTTGATCCTTTTTCTATAAAATAAGTGGTCAAATGATTAGTTTGACCGACCGTGTTGAAATAATGAAAGGTTTTTATCAAACTAACCCTTTAACCATTTTTTTTTTGTATTTCCCTTTATTGTCTATGTCTGGTGTGATTTGATAGTAGTTGAAGGGTGCAGAGTGTAATTTGTCCGGGTCTTCACATAGGTTATCGGGTCTATAGCAACCCAGCATACATAACGTTTTGTTGTTTTTTGGTTCATAATTGATAGATATTTCCTTGTGAGTTCTCTCTCAGTCGTTGCTCTCCGTTTAGGGTTTCAGATTCTTTCTTCATAATCCTTCAATATTTGAGTGTATTATTTTGTTCTTTAGGGTTTGTTGTTTTTGGTTCATAAGTGATAGATATTTCCTTGTAAGTTCTCTCTAAGTCGTTGCTCTCTGTTTAGGGTTTCAGATTCTTTGTTCATAATCCTTCAATATTTGAGTGTATTATTTTGTATGATAGTAGAATAGGAAACTTGTAGTGAGGTTTGGTTGTAATAGTACATGTAAAACGTTCTAGTTTAACTTGAAATCAAGCTGATCATGTTGTGAAATCGTGATTATAATTTTGTTACAATCCTTTTCAACAAAAACAACCATAGGTACATGATCAATAAACAAACCACTAAGAAATATAGACTAAAGTGCCTCTTGAATATATTTCGCTGCATAGACTTTAATCGACATCAACAAATTTAAAGAAGTAAATGTTACCACCAATAATAATTCACCAAAACATTTTCAGGCCAGAACAAGGAACCAGCAAAAAGATTCAATAGACCTGTGGGAATGGATTTGTCAGACCCAAGTACGCCATAAAATCTCAATAGAGGAGTTTAAATCATGTCGTATCCTAAATGTCTTTTTGGAATCATCTTCCTCATCCCAAAAATCTAACCAATCTGTTGTGACTTTTGTTGTTTGCATCGGATCATAATCTTTAGGAATGAGTACAGCTCTAAACCTATTCCCATTTCCATACAAATCCTCAGTGCCAAAAGAAAATGAGATGATATTGTATGTCGAATTCAAGCATCTTGTGTGCCTCAATGAACTAAACGAAACATATCCTACACATGTCTCTTGATATTCAGGATCAGGTGTTTCATCAGACTCCTGCCAAATCTGAGATTGAAAATCTTCATCTAAGCCTTGCTTTATACTTATATTAATGCCCATATGAAGGTCCTCAGATCTGACAAACATCAGAATCCCAGAAAAGTGATTGTACCAGTCATGTGGAAGCGTCATATTACAAGCCTTCACCCAGTTGATCCAAACTACAGATGGCCCACTCCAAATGTCAATGCCTGAAAGGTTGATACTGATAAAGTAATGTTTGGCGTTTCCCTACCACAAAACACATTCAATCATGATTCACCTGTATTCTTCTTATGTTTAGGTTTATATATATACAAAAAAGAATGAAATTTAAAAGCCAAACCAGGAGCATGGAGTTTAGTAACATGTCACAAACAAGTGGACCAAGTTTGTGGTTCCCAGTAAGAGTGACTTTCCACAACCATTTACAGTTTGAAATATCTCCAAAGCTTTCAAGTGAGAAACAACCATCCGCTAAAACAACAGCTATACTTAATGGCAGCTCCGACAATTCTACAAGGTCTTTGCAGTATCTTATGTCAAGACATTTGAGCTGAGGAAGTAGCAAGAGACTAAAATCCAACCGAACAAATCCATTTTCTTGTAGATTGAGTTCTAGCAAATTGGGTAATTCCCAACCAGCAGCCGAATTAATGTCTCCATCTGTCAGACTGCAGTTGCTGAGAACCAGTTTTCTTAAGCATCCACTAAAAAACCATACACCTGTGTGGTTCATGTTGTGAGGTAAAAAATTATTAAATGATCTGCAAGCTGAGAATACAAGAGTCTTGAGTTTCTTCGACCGGGTAATGGGTGGAACCATCTTAAGATTTTCACAATTTTGTATATGTACGCAAACAAGCTTTTCCAAACGTCCAAATGATGGATGAATCTCTTCTAATAAAGAAGATCCTTCAACTATGAATCTTTCAAGGTTTGGAATCCCATCAAAATCAGGTGTCTTGATCAGGCTTCTCAATCCATCGAGTTTGATCATCCTCAAATTTGGTAGATATTGTATACACAAGTACACATAAGACAAAAGTTTGTCAACACTTCATACAAAATAAGTATATTTTATAATGTTTGTAAACATGATTGCTTTTAAAAAGATTCTTTAAATAAAACCACACGTGTTTTAAAAAACTGTCATAGAAAATCGGTATCTTACAAAATGTGAATTATAAAACAAGTCATGCTTATAAAGAAATTATCGATAGGAAACAACTTAAATTATTAATTTAGTCATACACTTCGCTTTTATCCATTAGAAAATATATAAGGATTACCTTATAACCCTCCCAAAGTTGTTTTGCATTGATGTCTTCCAATGTTAGACAACAAAGCTCCCTTGGTGGAAAACTTTCTGGCATTATAACCAATTCAGTTTTTTCCAGAAAAAATCCCAAATCAATACACCGAAGTTTCTTCATATTTGCAGCGACCTGGAGAACATGTTGTGGTTCCTCCCTCCTAGAACACAAAACATACATAACTTCAATCTTGTCAAGGTTCTGGGATAAAGGAACAAAATGGTTTCAGAGTTGAGTTACAAGTGTTTCTCTATAAATTAGTATTTATATAATGAAAACCTAGTTTAGTTGTTACCGTCATTGCATCCATAGCACATATTTTTAGAACATCTTCCTTCTTCCAAATTCTACTATGTTTTTCAGGGTTGTTAGGGTGTTCCCCTCTAACAATGTAGTGTGCCATTTCTTGTACCAAATCATGCATATCAAACTTTCCATATTCTGTAATAGTTATGAGAGCCTTTTGTACCAACACCTTTATGCCTATAACAGGGTGAAAACCACAAGCATCAAGCATCGCCATTATCCTTTCATTTTTACAACGTCTTCTAAAGAAACATGCAATATCAAGGAACAATTGTTTCTCCACAGTCTTAAGTCCATCAAAGCTGATTTTTAGCTTTTCAAGTATATTAGCATCTGGGATTTCTTTCAATCTAGCCAAGGCACTCCTCCACTCATTCATATCTTTGTCACATAGAAAACGACCGAGAACTCTAAGTGCTAACGGGAGCCCACCAGCATACGAAACCACATCTTTTGAAAGCTGTTCATAATCTTCAATACGCCTGTAACCCCGGGGTGCATGCTTGCAAAAGAGTTTCATAGACTCTTCATTGTTTAACAAACTAATATTGTGTATCACATCTACTTTGTGTCCGGTTAATATATGTTCATCTCTAGTTGTGATTAGTATTCGGCTTCCTTCACCAAACCAATCACGTGATCCAACTAACTCTTCTAGGTGCTCCAGGTTGTCGACATCATCAAGCACAATCAAGACCTTTTTGTACTTTAATCTATCTTTTATCATGCGTCTTCCTTCTTCGACTCTCCCTACATGCAATTGCTTTTGTTTCAAAATACCACAAAGAATTTCTGCTTGCAATTTTTCAACACCATTCTTATTACTTGATTCCTCCCGGATATTTTTTAGAAAGCAACAACCATCAAACTTACTAGAAATCTCATCATAAATACAAGAGGCAAGAGTAGTCTTACCACCACCCCCAACTCCCCATATTCCAATCATTCTCTTACCACCAAACCCAATTTGTAACTTTGATATCAAATCTTGCATACGAGCTTCTACTCCAACCAGGTTGTCATCCACACTTGAAGTTATTGGACGCAACCTATGAGAAATTATGTCAACAATTTTTTTGATGAACTTTGACTCATGCCTGCAAATTGGATATACAAGGATCATTAAAACATGCTTGCAATGACAGATAGCCTTGTCATAAACTACTTCGTGAGTTCTTAGCAAATGTTAATAGTGATTATAATATTTGGCGCTTATCAAGTGATCTAGTTAAGGCCTTTGTGTATCAATTAAGGTCATCAACATCATCCGGATTAACCAAAGCATTTGTATGACAGCTTACTCATTATCATCACTCTATACTACCACTTTTGTTTTCAGAATACCTAATAGAACTTCTTCAGGTCATATCATCATACATCTTGGACTGCTTAAAAAATATAGACATCGCAATTGGATTATTACATAGTACAAGTGTATAATCATTCGTGTCATTGTACTCTAAAAACATGAATTATATCATCAAGAATTTGGCTGTATACTTCAAAAGCTTATAATGTATAAGTATAAATGTCTTGTACTAAAGCACACCTATCTTAAGCATAAAAAATGCACAAGCAAAAAAGAATATTACCCATTGGCAATGTGTTGGGGTTCCCATCCAGAAATGTTACTTGCATCCACAAGTGCTTTTCTCCAAGATTCAACCTTCGTCTTGTTTTCCAACTCATGTTTGATAAATACTTCTCCATATTTTCGTTTTTGTTTCCTCACTTCAGAGGGATCCACGTCATAAAATATGGGCATCACAATTTGACCTCTTGTATCCTTACATTTCATGATACGTTCAAGTTCATCTAAGCACCATGAAGAATCTGCATAGTTTTTAGAAAATATGATGATGGCTATCTGTGATTCTTCAATAGCTGTCACAAGAGATGGGCCAATTGATTCGCCCCGGGGAAGTGTTTCATCATCTTTGTAAGTAAAGATCCCTTGTTGTAGGAGAGCTGTGTAGAGATGATCCACAAACGTCTTTCGAGTATCTTCCTCTAAAACTAAGAAAAACATGATACTTCCACACCTCAGAAGAAAAGGTCACATCGGAAGGAGAAGAGGACGATGAATATGCCATTGATATGCAGTTTGAGTACTTCAACGAAATGAAATATAGCTGAGATGTGAGTTTCCACTACCTGTTATATCATGTAGAAAAACATCATCAGAACTCATAATTGAAGTAATTGGTTTCCATTTAGAGAACCTTATAACTAGTCCTTAAATTGTTTTTGTTTTTTTTTTTTTTTTTTTTTTTTTTTTTTTTTTTTTTGTCAATGAACACCTTTGACAAATAATGCAAGTTATGAATTTATGATTCAAAAGACGAACATGAACTGACGTAGGTGTTGTAAGTTAGTTGTCACGCCACATTAGGCTACACGGTATGGGTGCGGTCTGAGACCGTACTTTGTGCCACATGGACCGGGAACACCGCCCTGAGACCGCGGTCTGGTGCGGTCTTGGCCGCAGTGCGGTCCTTCATGGCTGTGTTCTGTGATTGGCTGAGAAGAATTAGAAAGGATTGGCGGTTGTTGGTTGTTGACTATTTAATTTAATTTTTTTTCTTTTCCTTTTGTTTTTGCTTTTTCTTTCCTATATATATACATATCAACTTTACTTTTTTTCACAACACAATCTCTTCTCTCTCAAAATAATAATAATAATAATAATAATAAATACCACTCTCTAAAAAATGTCATCTTCTGAACAATTTCAGACTATTTTTGATATCGCTATTGCGTGTATTCAAATGACGGAACAAACATACAACGTTGTATGTAACAACGCAGCTGCAAGTTCTCAACGGAGAACGCGAGATATATTTGCAAAAATCGTGAAGAAGCCAACCAACGGTTGGTACAAGACTATTTTGTAGAGAATGCTACTTACCAAAGGTATTATTTTCGTAGGCGTTTCAGAATGTTCAAAGGTTTATTCGAACGTATAGTTGAAGATGTAACGAGGGAGTGCACTTTTTTCCAACAACGCTACGATGCTAGAGGTACCACCCGGTTTCACTCCCTTACAAAAATGTACGGTCGCACTTCGTCAGTTAGCATATGGCATTCCGCCTGATGCGTTAGACGAAAGTTTTAGGATGTCTGCTAGAATCGCACGAGATAGTCTCCATTTTTTCTGCGAAACTGTGATTCAGTTTTATGGTCCAAAATATTTACGTAAGCCTACACGTAATGACATCCTGCAATCGCAAGCTCATCATGCTAGTGTGCATGCGTTTCCTGGAATGCTAGGAAGCTTAGATTGTCTCCATTGGGCATGGAAAAATTGCTCTACAACATATCATGGGCAATTTACCCGAGGTGATCATGGTCACCCAACAGTCATACTTGAAGCAGTTGCATCACAAGATATGTGGATTTGGCATGCTTTTTTTGGTTCTCCTGGTTCGATTAACGACATCAACGTTCGTAATTGTTCTCCAATATTTAACAACATATACGATAGATCCGCACCAGATTCTTCTTTTCAAGTGCATGGAACGTCATATAAGTATGGTTATTATCTGGTCGATCGAATCTATCATGAGTATGTTGTGTTTGTTAAATCGTTTACAGCTCCACATGGTTCTAGACAAAAGAAATTCAAGAGAGCTCAAGAAACAGCTAGGAAGGATGTTGAGCGTGCTTTTGGAGCTCTGAAGAAACGGTGGTTCATATTGAAAAAACCAGCAGCTTATTTAGGCGAGGAAAAACTTCAAGAAATCATGTATACATGTCTTATATTGCATAACATGATTATTGAAGACAAAGGAAGAGCGATACGTGCGTTTGACGAGGAAAAAACCATACCAGAGACACAACCAATAGAAATTGGTGGCGAAAAGTATATAAACAAGAGAGCAGAGATACGTTGTACTGAAACATTTCACAATCTTCGCAATGACTTGGTGGAACACATTTACGGGGTTCAAAACATTAACCTTAATTTGGATCCACCGGATGACCCCGAAGACGAGTTCTCAGAGAGCGACTTTATGTAGTTTGTTTTAGTTATTTTATTTGTGTTTTTTAAGTTTCTAGGATTATTTAAATGTCATGTGTGTGGTTTTTGTGTTTTTTTTGGTAATGCAATGTAATGTTTTTTTTTTTTTTTAATTTCAAGTAATGAAAATTTATGTTTTTTTTTTTTATTAAAATAGAAGTTTTATTAAATTAAAATAGTTTTTTTTTTTTTAAATGTGTGGCACCACTCCTTTGGTGTGGCAAGAAACCACACTTGAGTGGTAAAAAAATGACATGACGCTTATGTGGCGGAGGAGGAAGTACGGTTTCGGTTATACAAATTGATGTTTTATTATTAACTAGGTGTGAGATCCATGTATTACATGGGTTTAATTGAAAAAAAAAAAACAAATATAAAATTTTAACAATTTGAAAAGTTTGAATTTATAAGAAAAATGAGAAAAATTTTAATTATTAAAATTAATGAGACTTTAATGTATTGAATACATTACATATATAAAGTCTTTTTAATAAATACTTTACATATATATTACCTTACACATTAAATATGAAATTTTAATTTAATAAAATGAAAAATACAATAAAATGACAAGTGGAAAATAGAAAATTTAAAAAATCTAGAAAATAACATGTGTCCAAATAAATGAGAAGATGACATGTGACAAAAAAACCTTTATTTATTATAGTAGATTCTACTTTGAGATTTTTCTTAAAATAAGTGGTGGAAATTCCACAGCAACACCAAGCTTTGGCAGACTCATTTTCTAAACTCTTCCGTTTGCAAACTTATGCATCAATTTCCTTAGGATTTGTTCCTTAATTTCTTATTTCAACATGAACTGATTTGAGTATGTAGATATCTTTCCTCAGCTCCTTCACTCTTCTCTGTCAATTCTCTTCAATGTCCCAACTTTAGATCCTTAACATATGTTTATACCGAAAAAGTATCATAATCACTAACCAGCCTAAATTCGAAACACTACAATTGGTAATCAGTAAATGACTAG